TGTTGAAGTTGAAATTAAAGTATGTACAGAGTAAAATAGAAAAAACCATCATCATCATCATCATTACAGCCCTTCACAAGTCCACTGCTGAACAAAGGCCTCCACCAAGGAATGCCACAAAGCACAGTCCTGAGTCACCTGCATTTATCGACTTCCTGCAGGTCTTACCAAGTCCGCACTCCATCTAGTGGGGGGTTGCCCTACACTTCGCCTACCGGTACGAGGCTGCCACTCGAGAACCTTTTTTCCCCATCGGTTGTTGGTTATTCGAGCTATATGGCCGGATCATTGCCACTTCAGCTTACCAATCAGTTAATCATTCTGGTTCTACTGCGGATTTCTAAGTTTATCACGCAAAGAAACCCCGAACATAGCCCTCTTCGTAGCTCGCTGAGCAACCTTGAGCTTCCTCATATGGCCAGCAGTGAAGGATCACGTCTCAGATCCTTAGGTCATCACTGGCAACACGTACTGGTTGTACAATCTCATTTTCAAGTTTTGAGGTATACCTGACGAGAAGATATATCGTAATTTCGCGAACTCTACCTAACCGAGTTGAATCCGTGGATTGAGCTCTCGGTCGAAGTTGGACTTACCTAGTCGGACTATTTGCCCTAGGTAAACATACTAGTCAACAACTTCAAGCTTAGAGCTCCCAACAACTACCGGCATAGGTCTGACATGGACGTTATACATTATCTTTATTTTGTCCATGTTCATCTTAAGACCTATCCGTTGGGAGGCACTTTTGAGGTTAATGCTCCATACCCATCTTGCTCTAATCTAAAGCCCCGAAAACTTTCAGCTCCAGTTACATAATCGTTTTCAGTGCCTAGAAAATTGCAATGCTGTTGACGATATGAATGACAAACTCGTGGAAACTGTCCATGCGGTCGGAGCTAAGTTTTACAAGACCCTTTCGTAGAAGAACACAAAAACTGTCCGATCACATTCTCAATCTCATAGCTGTTAGACGGGAAATGAAGCTGCAGCCATCAGCGGATTTGACAGCATACAGGCAACTGAGCACACAGATGTATAAATGCATGCGGCGAGACTTACGAAACTTCAGTACACCTCGTATTAAAGACGTGATCGAGCGGAACCAGGGCTCCAAAGTCTTTGCCAGAGATCTGACTAAGATATTGACTCCTATTTTTTATACACGCTACTGTGTGAACTGATTTAAAAAGAAATTTTTTCTTAAATAGTTGTATCAAAGCAAAAGTTAACGTTTTTCTATAACTTGTATTTCAAACGCAATCGATAGCTTTCTATATTGTTTTAAAGACTTGTCCAAATCACCGAAGAAAAACTTTCTTATTCCTGGTCACAAAATTTTTTTGCAAACCACGCTTTTCTTATATAAAATAATCACCTATCATTTAGTCATCCCTGACATAATTCTTAACGACCCCGTTTCTACAGTATAAATTTTCCTCTCATTCTATTTTTACTACAAATTAGTTTTGTACAATTCATTAAAATATACGACCATGTACTGGCGGTGTGAGAATGTCCATTACCCCATATTATCCCGTGTGTGTCGTAAGATGCGACATAGGGAAACAAATCAGGAGATAGGCAGCAGCGTCTTCCTAATAACGATTACAAATAAAAAAACTGCGATTGCCAACCTGCTTGCCAAGCGTGGCAACTATGGAAAATATTCCCCCTATGAGGCAATCTATGGGGTAGGCCTATGTTCAGCAGTGAACTTTAATAGGCTGTATCGGTAACGGTAACATTAAAATATAGACTTATACAGAATAGTGAATTGCCATACGTGCCATACATTCTGAATTACCACAATAGAATTTAAAGCCATTTTTCTTATATAATAATTTGTGCTTAAGTTGTTTGAGTAACAAACATCGTGTTTCTAATTTTAAGTCTAGTTCAGTGTGTAATAAGTGTCGGAGTAGACATCACATTATGCTACATTTTGAAAATAATGCCGCGTCCAGGTTGAGCAAACTGTAAGTAAGCTCCGCCCACCGTGGCTGACAAGGACGCCCCACCTCATATAGAGTCAAACCGCAGCCACACAGGTGCATTGCGCACCTCGCGTTTTGCATCTCTGCACGCGCACTCTGATGATGTTGCTTTGTGCTCGCTATTGAGTAATAAAGAAATCGCTCGCGTTCCCTCCACTGTTCTTCTTGGTACCGCGCACGTTATAGTTAGAGATTTGTAAGGAAAAGAACTTGGTGTTCGTGCATTATTGCATAGCGCGACCCAAAGTAATTTTATAACGAATCAGTGTTGTCAACAGTTAGGATTAATTGCAAATAAGACAACTTCATGTCCCGTAGTGAAGGGAATCGGAAGATTGAATGAAACTGTTCAGTGTTCGGTAAATTTTAAATTTTATAGTGCGAATAAAATTTAAAATTTACCGGAATAAAATTTAAAAAAGTATAAGCTGGTTGTAGACAAAGTAACCGAGCGTTTGCCCACTGTTTCGGTCAATACTTCCGTAATGTAAATTTTTTAATAATAATTTGATTTTAGCGCATGACACTTATTCCGTCCGTTGAGACATTGATATACTCATTGAGGCGAATATTTTTCCTCACCTCTTATTATGTAACAAAGTTAAGGGTAACCCCTCGAGTATCGCAACTTACGCATTGGGAACCATTTTAGGTTACGTAATTGTTAGTTCTGCTCCTGCCGTTGATAATTTTTCAGCAATTTCTTCTTGTTACACCGCCGTCGAACCTCTCGAATTTTTTTTTTATTGAATTAGGGTGACAAACGAGCACACAGTCCACCTGATGGTAAGTGGTTGCTGTGGCCCATAGACATCTGCATCTATCCTCGTTTGTGAATTAAAATGCAGATGCGTTGTCAGCCTTGAGGACTAAGATAGAATGCCTCTTTTCCAGTAAAATCCGGTCTCCAGTTCTCTACACTCACCATACGAAACACAGCAGCATTAAGCTGCTATTTTACGCTGGTATTCTGTGAGAGCGTGGTCCTTCCCCGGTCGAGCCGACCCATTCGTGCTACAACTATACTATTAATATAGCTGCAGTATGGCTCTACCACGTTTATTTGTTTGCAAGTTTTGGAAAATTGAGGATACTTAGCTTATGATAGATTTTGCGAAGAAATTTATATCCGCAACACTGTTCGTGATAGCAATGTTCGATATATCGTAGCTCTTCCCTTTAAAGGGGATAATTTTGTCTTTAGATGATATGCATCAAATCCCAGAAAATCTTTTCTACTGTTTGGAACGCAAAATGCTAGCTTTACCCAAATTAAAGGAATTATTATTTGTTATGACGATGTCATTAACAAATACTTAAAATAGGGCTATATATCGCCTGCACTTCCAAGCATGGATGACTTCACCATACAGACGCCATCATATTTCATACTGCACCATGCTGTCATTAGGTAGACAAACTAACATCTAAGTTATGTGTGGTACTTGAGTAATATAATTATACATTTTCGTATGTTTCGTATCGCACTATCCGTTTATATCCGCAAAATGTTTCTTTGTATTGCAATTCGTGAATGTGATTGGGATGACAAACCACCTGATAAAATTGTTCGTTCATGGCTACGCTTTAGGGAAGATATCCCTTTACTAAGCCAAATTAAAATACCGCGTCATGTGGATATCAGTATCGTAAGTTGGTTTCGCAGACGCTAGCGAGAAAGCTTACGGGGGCGTTGTATATTTCCACGTCCAGAATTATTGTGAAAATTCGGTAAGTCTTATTAGCACTAAATCGAAAGTTTCCCCTCGTAAGGTTGTGTCTCTCGCACGCCTCGAACTTTGTGCAATTTTGGTTCTTGCCAAACTTATTACAACTATTGTTAGTGAATGCAATATTCGCATCAATATCGATAAAATATTTGCCTTTTCGGACATAACAGTTGTTTTATTTTGGGTTTATTCTTCGCCCCATCTCTGAGATTTTGTCGCAAATTGAGTAGCCAAGATACAAAGCGAGTTAATATCGCAAAACTTCTATTATGTGTACGGTGTAGAAAATCCTGCCGACAGTTTGTCGCGTGGACTTACTTCGGTGCATGGTAAAGATCATCCGCTTTAGATTCATGAACCTTCTTGGGATTCGGCAGAATCCTTGCAATGGCCCATAGTTGATTTTAGCTCTTCTTCAATATCATAACTCCCGGAAGAGAAGAAACATTCTCTGATTGCGAATACTTCAAGTGAAGTTTCTCCAGTCATTATTCTAGCAAGATTTTTCTCTTCATAGTAGAAATTATTGCGTGGCGTAATTTACGTTTGTCGTTTTGCATAGCTTTTGCTGCCAAGTCATTATATCACTGCAGCCGATTACGTCTAAGCAGAATTGTTACTAATTCGTGAAATTCAACGTTTACACTTTGCCGACGAGATTTGATCAGGCAAGGTTTGTAGCCACACTTTTCAACGCTTAAAACCATTTCTAAAAGATGAAATTATTAGAGGGGGTGGCCATTTATCTAATTCGAATTTAAATTTTGCTCAACGATATCCTTTGCTTTACCGCGTAAGTAACATATTTTGAATAACATATATTGATTATCAGCACAAATTGAATAGCCGCCCTTTATGTTGTAGCACATTTTTGATGGTTATGTTTTTTTGCACGAAGAAATGCCTACACACACACGGGTAATTGTGTATCAATTACCCGCCCTTGCCCCCGCGAGACGGGAATGTGTAGGTATTTCCTCATGCAAAAAAATAGACATCGTAGCCCTACTGTACAAACACTTCAGCACTTCGATATTCCGACAGATATATATATAATTCGAATTTGCTCCTTTCATTTATATGATACTACCCATAGTATTACCACGAAGATAGTAGATCGTAGGGATCTATAAGTGACCTTTTCGTATTAGATCATGTCGTTATGAATTTAAATGCGAAATAATAAACAAACCAGAAACTTTAATTTTTGTTTTTAATTAATAAAACACTCATAAAAACTAAAAAAATACTCATTATCAAATATGTTTTTCAGATTAGCCAAATTTGTGGATAAATTTGGCGCTCGACCTTCGGGTTCTGAAATATTGGAAGACTCCATAGATTACATGATTCAGCTAACACGAGATGAAGGCATTAATGATATTTCTACCGAAGAACTAGAGGTGGTAACTTTTGTTACGTCTAATTGTATTAAATACTATTTATCCAGAAATTAAATACAAGGTGTTTTACAGGTTCCACATTGGGTTCGAGGTAATGAAGTTATAACTATGCTTAAACCTAGAGTCAAAAACATTGATTTATTAGGACTGGGAAGAAGTGTGAGCACACCGGAAGACGGTATCACCGCAGAAGTCATCGTTTTCTCAAATTTTGAAAAATTAGAAGCCACACCTATTGACGATATAAAAGGTAAAATTGTACTTTATGATCCACCTTTTACAACGTATGGAGAGACGGTAATATATAGATTAAGAGGAGCTACAAAAGCGGCTGAAAAAGGTGCTTTAGCAGCATTGGTAAGATCGATTACCCCATTTTCAATTAATTCTCCGCATACTGGATCTCAGACGTATGATGGCAATATAACTAAAATTCCAACGGCTGCAATTACTCTCGAAGATACAGATTTGATAAGGAGGTTATATAATCGAGGTGAAACTGTTGTATTAAATATTAAAATGTCTTCAAGTTATGATACTAAAATTTCACGAAACACAATTATTGACTTGAAGGGAATTGAGAAACCAGAAAAACTAGTAATTGTCTCTGGTCACATAGATAGCTGGGATGTGGGTCAAGGAGCTATGGATGATGGAGGTGGATTATTCATCAGTTGGGCAGCACCAGTTATTCTTAAAAATATGAATTTGCGGCCAAAACGAACTATTAGATCAATATTTTGGACAGCTGAGGAATTAGGGTTAATTGGCGCATATGCGTATGAAGAAAAGCATAGAAATGAAAGTTCAAACATTAATTTTATAATGGAATCAGATGAAGGCACGTTTGCTCCTCTTGGATTAGCGGTAGCTGGTAATCAAGAAGCTAGATGCATTATTGGCGAAATTTTAAATTTATTTACATCCGTAAACGCTTCTACTTTAGTTGAAGATGACAGCCCGGGGTCTGATATAAATATAATAATTCAAACTGGTGTACCCGGTGCCAGTCTTCACAATGCTAATGAAAGATACTTCTGGTTTCATCACACTGCCGGAGATACAATGAATGTTGAAGATCTAAAGGAACTGGATTTATGTGCTGCGTTTTGGACTGCAGTTGCATACATTATAGCTGATCTTTCAGTTGATATACCACGATACATTAAATAAAATAAATGATTATAAAATAAACGTTATCACTAACGTATATAAAATTGTTTTTGAAAATTCTAAATAATAAACCCATGAGTAGCTTACGTAGCCCAAAGTATATAGCATTATGATACTACGTTATTTTTTGGTGCGTCTCCAATTTAAAACTTAAGCTCTTAAATCTTCATATGTAGTTACTAATTATAAATTTTAAACTACAAAACGGGATCAATTTTAACTTCTGCCAGCTATCAGCTAGAAATGAGTAACTAAATGGCCAGTAATAGTATTGAATTTGAAAACGCAACAAAGACAAGTATGCTATAAATTAATCTGAAAGACTTGTTAACTAATTTTTAACTACTAAAACCGTTAAGGCTCTAAGAAGCCTGAATGTTAAAGGAATGAAAATATTTTGAAGGAAATTAATTTGATTTATTTCTATGTATAATTTAACAATTTCGTATATTCTTGTAAGTTTTTGTTAAAACTTTGGGTAAGGTTTTGTTAAGTAATTATTCCTTGTTTGTTCTTTTTCTTCAATTTAATATTTTATTCACCAGATGATATTACTTGTATAGTATATCACGGTATTGTTTGTATCATAAAACATTATAAAGTGGACAATTTGCAAATATAGATAATCGTTTATGCCATATGTCGAGAAGTTTTATCTACAGAAATCAAATTGGGGTTAAGGTTTCGGAAACGGAATTAAACGTTGGTCCTTCAAGCCGGACACTTAAGGCTGAGGATGACTTTCGTTAATTTTTTTTTGACTACGGGACATGACGTCGGGATGTCGTAGAGGAATTAGCGACGGAACACGAACATTGTCGAGATTCGATTACGTTCGGGGTGTAAGAAGAACCCAACTGCGACGTCACATCACTCGGCAGGCAGAAAAGGTTTAAAAAGTGTAGTGTATAGTGTGTTGTTTTAAGTATATTGCAAAAAATATTGTAAGTATATTGCTGCATTAACATGCAATTATTCAATAAATTGGGACTTAGAAAAATTTCATGGTAGATTGCTAGAATTATCTAAGTGTAGTAGTAGTAGACATTTTGAACATACGGGGAACCTATGCCCAATTTTCACCAAAGCTTAGAAATATAATAACAGTTAGAAAATTTCGAAGCAATTTGTAATAACATCGATTAAGAAACATTTGTTGAAAAATTATAACCAATCAGAAATTTGATTTGAAACATGGTATTTATAAAGCTTCAGACATAAATTATAAATCAGTTGAATGAAGCTTAAACAAATTATAAGAAAGATTCTAAATCCTGAATTTTCGTGTAATCATTCTGCAACTGTTAAAAGTAACCAAGATGTTTCAGTTTCAAACTACATTTCGCTAGGGTGGTCTCCACCTCTTTGTTGTTGCCATATCACGCCATTCGAACCAAATGGTTTGCTTCGTCGTTCATAATGCGTACAGCAAAAAATGTGTCTAGCAATGACCAATTTTTTTTATAGAATAAGAGTGACAAACGAGCACACAGTCCACCTGATAGTAAATGGTTGCTGTGGCCCATACACACCTACATCTATCCTCGTTTGCGAATTAAAATGCAGATGCGTTTTCAGCCGTGAGGACTGAGATATACTGCTTACTGCTTTTCTTTTGCTCTACACTCTCGACACTCACCATACGAAACACAACAGCATTAAGCTGTTATTTTACGCTGGTATTCTGTGAGAGCGTGGTCCTTCCCTGATCGAGCCGAGCCATTCGTGCTACATCTATACTATTAATATAGCCGCAGCATGTCTGTGCCATATATACAATAAATGTAGATTTAAAAATAGTTTAATTAAAACTGAAACTCATTCTTAGATTTCCGTGCCAAAATTCCTTTTTTCTACAACTGCTTTTATTACTAAAATCCTGTACGTCTTCACAGACGTATTTTTTCAGAAACGATTTTCACGTATATTTTATTGTATTCACCATAGTACCATATACGCAGTAGAGTAACCGAGATAGCGCAATGGATTAGTAAGCTGAAGTGGCAATAGGTAAGCCATATAGAACGAAGAACAGACAAGCAACGGGGAAGAAAGATTCTGAAGTGGCAGTCTCGACCCGGCATATGAAATGTAGGGCAGCACCCCATTAGATGGAGTGACGACCTCCTAAGACATAAGTTGATGAATGCTTGTGACTCAGGGTCGTGCTCTGTTACATTCCTTGCGGGAGCTTTATGTTACGTAGAGGTCTCGTGAAGGGCTGTAATGATAATGATGATGGTTTTTAAACACTATGTATATAGTATAATTAATTTCAAATTAATTATCCGTGAGAGTCTAGGATAAACTAGGTTGGTACAACCAGTGCACCGACTCACGCTAGAGCCAAAACTACCCGCTTCGTTGCTGCACAGTCGTTTTATATCTGTTGCTAAACAAATCGAGTAGTGGGGCGGTGGGGGAAATCAAGTAGTGCGCAGGGTGGCGTGATCGGTGTACGTGTTGTTTACAATTTTTGCTGTACCTGCGTACGACGACGACGCCATCATGCCGTCACGGCCATGCTGACATGCGGACGTCCTCGTACGTAGCGACAAAATCACTATGGTTCTGAAACAATAAGCATCGCTCGATTATCCTGACAAAAATCATAAATTTTTACACATTCAGCAATATGTTCTAATCCGGTCTATAATGACCCTACAGAAATTTACAACTAACTTTTGCCCGCGACTTTATCCGCATAGATATAATACTTTAAACCATAATTGATCCATCAATAATCTCACTTTCATAGTAAATTCCTTCACCCTCTTTAAGGATGATTTCCTTGATCAAAGCTATCCTATTTCCTTCCCCGGGACTTAAACTATCTCGATACTAAATTTCATCTTAATCGGTTCATCAGTTTAAGCGTGAAGAGGTACATTTGCTCACGCGGCTAGGAACCTTGTTTTACCCCACTTCGCCCGCAGTACGCCACGACCGACCGCCCTACCCACGCTGGACCGCACAATTTTATATCGTCGTTACTTTTAAAGTATTTGACCAAGTTACGTAGTTTAAAAGACAAAGTTTATCTACTTTGAATTTGCTAAAATCCATTTGTTACTGAAAAATGTGCATTGGAAATAAAGTATCAAATTTAATTGTATTTATTGTTCACTATTTTGGTAATAATGGCTTACGCATAAAAGATAGATGTATACTGTCGGGGACTTTTTTGTAGAACTATTTAGGAGAAACAATTACATTATATATTATATTTGTGTAACTCTTACAGTTTTTGCACTGCATGCCAAAATAGCTCGCAAACGACAGATTTCTCCGACTTACCATTATATTTGGACCTATTTACACAATATTAATTATATTCTTTATTATTTATTTCTAACCTACGTGATGTTCTAGTGTAAGAGTTATATTATTGTAAAGTTTCATTAAAATAAATTCAGTAGTTTTTGCGTTGAAGAGTAACAAACATCCATACATCCGTACATCCTCACAAACTTTTACGTTAATAATATTAGTAGGATCAGCTCTGCTTCTGTCTATTAGATCCTTCAGGCAACTAGTATTGGACCGGTTCCTTTGAACCCTGCAACACTAATCAGTTTTGGTACGGCAACATGCCCTTCAAACATTTTTTTTCAAGTACTGTTTATGCTAGTCCGGAATCACTATTCCATGTAGCTATATCATCGGACCGACATAAGCCCTGCAATGATAGTAAGAACCATTTTTTTCTTACCTTCTTTTAATAGAATCATTATTTTTCTATTTAATCTTCTTCTATGATCATTTCGCTTAACGCGCAAAAATTGCTAATATCAGACTCAGGGACGTCGGGATCAAAATGTGCCAACACTGTCGGTATGGTGAATTTATGCTATCAGTCATTTTTTAAACATTTTCCATTCCAGAGAAGAATGACATTGGTGGTTGTGCCAAGACATTATGGAGTGGGGGTGCATTCGATCCCACTTCTGATGTAAGAGAGGGGTTGGCCATGCTGATTAAGAAGTCAGGGATTACAAGGTAGTATTTAGTTTTATTACCTATAAATTGCATCAAGACACTTTTATAATTAACTAGCTGTCCCCCGCGACTTCGTCCGCGTGGAATTTACTATGATTTCATGGGTTTTATTTTTTTACGCAGAACCCTAATTATTTTTCTAAAATAAAAGTATCCCAAGTTACTCCTTATAACATCAGCTATCTTCCAGTGAAAGTTCCGTCAAAATTGGTCTAACCGTTTCGGAGATTAGCCGGGACAATAAGACAGACAAACATGTTAAAAATTGTTTTTTGTTGTTAGTATCGTATATACTTTCAAATGCATTTGTTTTATTTATTTGTATATATGATAATTATTCATTTCAAATTAATTATGCGAAAGCGTCTAGGATAAGTTAGCTTGGTACAACAAGTGTACCGAGTCACGTCAGAGCCAACACTGCCCGCTCCGTCCGATCGTTTTATATCCGTTGCAAAACAAGTCGAGTAGTGGGGCGGTGTTGTTTACAATTTTTGCTGTACCGCCGTCATACCGTAATATATTACAATCTTGTTAGAAAATATACTTATTGATATAAACCTTTACGAAGCTCGAAATCTATGCTCAGGGTGGACGTTTTCCATGGGTAGTGCTGATGCCGTGATTCTTTATCATCATCATAAAGAGAGTTCTAAAATAAATTTAAGTTCTTTCACTCTATTTCTAATTTTGGTTAGTTGAATTGATATATAGAATTTTTTTATCTTATTGGTATTTTTTTTCATGGAACCCAGTAATAATTTCAAGCTTAACTTTTGAAAATAGTAGCTCGACAGTAAACTTTACAATCGCTTTTTATTTTTGTTGTTGGAATGCCTAAGTTATTAGTTTGAGGCAAATCGATTAAACATGCCGTAAATTGATTCTGAATCATTCGCTGCGTTGTGCCCAATTCGCGTAAAATGAATCAAGAGTGCGTGAAATTTATTAATAGTAGACCATTGAGGGAACATTTTATCTCGCATTAGCTTTTTACATTA